CAGTGCTGACACACACGCCCTGCTTCAGCTTGTCTTGCAGTCATGGTACATGACACCACCTCTCCTAGAATTAGCGGCTTCCCTCACCCAAACAGCAACACACAGTAGGCACACACATTCTCTTCACTTTTTTAGCCAGGCAAATTGCCCATCTTCCCTGTTTTACTTTCCCCTTCTGAATTGTGTCAAGAACAGTGAATGAGATATTGAAAATACAACAAGTAGCACAAATTCAAATACCTACTTAGACCAGAGGCACTGCCCGCCAACAGCAGCTCACGCTAAGGTCAGAGGCCAGGAGCCTGTCATTAAGTTTCACAACTCTGAGCCAAATCACACCTTCTTCCCTGTGCCCTATTCCTTCTTTGCTCATTCAGTTCAGGAGCACTGTGTATATTTGTGGGCACCAAGGCTTCTGGGTGCCAACCATGGAAACAAAATACCACCAGACTGGTTCACTCTGGGTTGTCAGAAAACCCAAGCAGCTGTTGATGCCTCTCTACCTTCATTTTTAACCTTGGGAACAGGTGGGGGAGAGAGCGAAAGGACAAACCCCAAGGCTATGTGAGTAACTGCAGGGTCCTCAGGTAAGGAGGGCTGAGTGCTTCCTTAGTAGTAACTGCTGGAAAGTCACTCCAAAGCTTCATGGACACTGTAGGGAAGGGAGAAGAGAAGGGAAGTAAGTAGAAGAGAAGTGGCGACAGCCAGAGAACAGGTGGTGGTGAGGGCTGGGCACACTGGAGCACAGTCTGGGTTTTGGAGAACTCCCCAGGGTTAGGTCTGGCAGCTAGAACTGCCTCACGCACACCTGAGCAGCCAGCAGCGTCATGTGCACCCAGGACAAGAGCATGCTTTGCTGTCTCCCCACCTGCTATCCAATTTCAGTTTCACCACTTAAGGATCACCACTTAAGGATCCCAGTGAAGCCTGGAGATCTGATCAGCTGAGATTTGGCACCCAGCAGCTACAACATTCTTCAAATGGCACTGGCCACTGTAAGACTTAGTTTAAAAGGCAGAGCTATAAATCTATGCTCACCTGATTTTTGACAGGGCCATGATCACGCACTTGGGAAAGAGCAGTCTTTTTGATAACAGAGACAGCTCTGGGCTAACACATAGGAGGAGCAGTGCCAGATGGCTAAGTGTCTAAGCTCCTATCTCCCATGCAGGAGACCTTCATGAAGCTCCTGGCTATGACTTGGTCCAGCCCTGGCCATGGAGGCCATATGAGCAATGAACCTGCAAAGAGAAGTTCTCTTTCCTTTTCTCTCTGGGCATTGTGGTACAGCAGGTTAAGCGGCCAGGGACACTTGCATTCCGTACTGGAGTGCCCCAGGATTCAGTGCCAGCCCCAGCTAGCTGACATCTGACCCCACTTCCGTAGGAGTCAACAGATGACAGCTCAGGTGTCTGGGTCTCTGCCTACCACATGGGGGATGAAGACGGAACTCTGGATTCTTGGCTTTGCCTGGCCCAGCCCTGGCTGTTTTGAAAACTTGAGGAATGAAGCAGCGAAGGAAAGATGATCTTTCTCACTCTGCCTTTCAGGTAGGTGAAAATAAATCAATATTTTTTAGAAAAAGAGGGGGGAATTTCTGAAAAAAAATTGTGGATTTAAACCTTGCTGAGTTTAAGTGAGACAAATGGTTCTTGCCTGTGCCCTCAAAAGCACAAGCAACAAAAGAAACAGGTAACAACCAGCATCCAGGCTCAACGGGCCTTGCTCTGCCTCTAAGTGCTGGCATTCTAGGAGTGCCAGCTCATGTGTTGGCTGTTCCAGTTCCTATCGAGCTCCCTGCTTGTGGCCTGGGAAAATAGCAGAGGATGGCCCAAGTCCTTGGGACCCTGCACCTGTTTGAGAGACCCAGCAGAGGATGGAAGATCTGTCTTTTCTAACTGCCTTTCAAATAAATCTTTAAAAATTTCTTCAGCCTCTTGGAGGACCAATGCTTTAAAAACGATTTTTTCTTAAAGATTTATTAGTTTTTATTTTTATTATTTTTATTGGAAAATAAGATTTACAAAGAGGAGAGACAGAAAAAAAAAGATCTTCTCTTTTGTTTCACTCCCTAAGTGGCCACAACAGCTGAAACTGAGCCAAAGCGAGGAGCCAGGAGCCTCTTCCAGGTCTCCCACATGTGTGCATGACAAGACATCTGGGAAATGGACCAGAGGCTATATGGGATCCTGTGGATGCAAAGTGAGGATTTAGCCAGTAGGGCTATTGTGCTAGGCCCAGACTTATTTTCATTGGAAAGCAAATTTACAGAGAAAATGAGAGACAGAAAAATCTTCCATTTGCTGGTTCACTCCCTGAATGGCCATAACAGACAAAGTTGAGCTGATCCAAAGCCAGGAGCCAGAAGCTTATGGGTCTCCCACATGGGTGCAGGGTCCCAAATCTTTGGGCCATACCTCACTCCTTCCTAGGCTGTAAGCGGAGAGCTGGATGGGAAGTGGAGCAGCAGGGACACAAATAGGACCCATATGGGATCCTGGGGCTTGCAAGGGGAGCATCTGCTCCCCTTGAGCCTGGGCCAAACTCCAGATTTCTACCCACTGTTCATTTCAACTCTGGTCAAGACAACAGGAACACTTAGCAAATCCTGCTATGCCCTTTCTTTTGTGCTAACAGAAGGAAGTCAGACGCTGCTTCACCAGCAAGCTAAAGATCATGGTTGACTTCAATCAATTATGTTTTATTGAGACTAATACAGTGTTTTTAGAAGTGTGAGCACTTACTCAAACAATTGCATATAAAACCCAAACTTTAGGAATGGGACTGTGGTGTAGTAGGTACTGTCTATGGTGCCAGTATTCCATATAGGTGGGATTTCTGAGTCCTGGCTGCTGCATTTCTAATCCAGCTCCCTGCTAATGTGCCAGGCAAACAGTAGAACATGGTTTGAACCCTTGGGCTCCCGCACTGATGTGTAAGATGTGGAAGCAGCTCCTGGTCCTTGGCCTAGCTTCAGCCCAGCACAGTTCTGGCCACTGTGGCCATGTGGGGAGTGAACCAGCAGATTAAGATAACTGTGCCATTTTCCTAACTCAAATAATTTTCAAACCAATAAAACCCCAAATTCTAATTTATCTTAAAAATTATCTTTAAAGTTTAATCAAAACATTTTACAGATGGGAGAAAACAGGGTATAAGATCAATCTTCTGGGCCCAGTGCCATAGTCTAGCGGCTAAATCCTTGCCTTGCATGTGCCGGGATCCCATATGGGTATGGGTTCTAATCCCAGCAGCCCTGCTTCCCATCTAGCTCCTTGCCTGTGACCTGGGAAAGCAGTGGAGGATGGCCCAAAGCCTTGGGACCCTGCACCTGCATGGGAGATTCGGCGGAACTCACGCCTGGCTTTGGATTGAATCAGCTTCGGCTGTTACAGCCACTTTGGGAGCAAACTAGCAGACAGAATATCCTTCTTTCTGTATCTCCTCTCTGTAAATCTGCCTTTCCAACAATAATGTTAATCTTTTTTTTTTTTTAAGCAATCTTTAAATATTTGAGAAGATATTACCTGGGTATGTTACTAATGTAAAAATGAGAGAAAAGTTAGTAGTTAAAAGTTGTTTCAAATGAATGAGCTGCTTTTAAAAAACTTATTTATTTGAAGAGGAGGGAGAGTGAAAGACAGAGAATATAAATTATCTTCTGTGTAGCAGTCACTCCCCAAATAGCTTGAAGTACCATGGCTGGGAAGCCAGGACTGGGACTTGGGCCAGTGCTCCAATGCAGATGCAGGTACTCCAAGTAGTGGCTTCACCACTGTTCTACAAAGCGTGCCCCCAGCTGCTTTTCAACACAGCATGTTTTGTATCCCAAGTATGAAGCATTTCATAGGCTGTAACAGGCTGAACTCTGAAAATATGGACAGTGAAAGAGAAAAGGCAAAAGTAAATCCTTAGAAAGAAAAGGTTTAGTAACAGATGGCCATTGGGAGATGGAGAGTGACTACTAACACCTTCAGGGTTCCTTTCTGAGGCGGTTAAAACATTGTGGAATGAAAACTTACCCAAGTGCACAGCATGGTGAATACACTTTAAAAATTTTTATTTTTTTCTTTAAAGAAACATGCTTCCGATTTTACACCCTAGTGTTATATGTACTGTAATATTTATACATATATATTATATATATTTTAAGATTTATTTATTGTTTTTTATTGGAAAGTCAGAAATACAGAAAGGAGAGAGAGAGAAGAAGATCTTCCATTTGATGATTCACTACCCAAGTGGCTGCAATGGCTGGAGTTAAGCTGATCCAAAGACAGGAGCCAGGAGCTTCTTCCGGGTCTCCCATGTGGGTGCAGAGTCTCAGGGCTTTGGGCCATCCTTGACTGCTTTCCCAGGCCACAAGCAGGCAGCTGGGTAGGAAATGGGATGTTGGGGACACGAACTGGTGACCATATGGGATCCTGGCACATGCAAGGCAAGTATTCACCCACTAGACTACTGCGCTGTGCTCATATTACGTGAATTTTCAAAAAAAAATCATTTTTATTGGAATGGTAGATTTACACTCAGATTAACCCACCAAACTACATATTCAGCACACACAGACCATTACCAACAGGCCTGAGTCTATGGAAAGGTAGTGTCTACCTTTCCAAGTGTAAATCACGGTATAAATTTAAAAACAAAAACAAAAACCTACTGTCTCTTGTGAGCTTTAGTCTAGTGGTTGGGCCTACTCCCATCCCACACTGGAGGGCCTGGGTTCAATAGTCAGCTTTGGCTCTTGGCTTGAATTTGCTGCTTTTGCTACTTCCAGAATGCACTGGTCAGTCTCAGATGGTTGGGTTCCTATGGGGGCCTCTGGATAGAGTCCTAAGCTATTGGCTTTGGCCCTACTGGTGCCCATTTGTGGAGTAAATCAGTGGTAAATGGGAATGCTCTCTCTCTTTCCTACAATATAGTAAATAAAATTAAAAACAAAACCAAAAACTCGCCCAAATTTTAAATTGGAGATGTAGGTCAGAGGACACAAAGCATCAAACATGCTGTCTGGAGATGTGAGGTACATTACGAGGACTACAGCTAGTCAACTATTCTGTGTGTGGTGCTCACACTTCAGGGATTCGATTTTCACTGTTCTTGCCACAAAAACAAAGGTAGCTAACTACGTCAAGATGAGAGAGAAGTACCATAACCTTTTTATTTCCTGATTATATCCTATCACATCACGTGGCAGACCTTAAAGATACATGTACACAACATACACATTTCTTTTTAAAAGACCCCGGGAACAGTTTGGACTAAATTCTCTGCATTTAGGAATTTCCCACTAAATTCCCTAGCCATCCACATGGGCTATAGCAAATGCAGGAATTCCTGCATGCCTAGAGCCATCCTTCATACACATGGCTCTTCTGAAAGGCTCCAGCATACAGAGGTGCTGGCTGGAAGGCAGGCTCAAAGGGTGCTCTGAGGAGCTGCACTCAAACCTCCAAGGCTGACCTGGTTAAAGCCCCTCCCTTAGTACTATCCTAAGCCTAAAAATTTAGGCTGTTCAGGGACCCTAATATAAACCAGAAACTTTGGGGTCGTTCTCTTGGAAAGAACACTACTGGCTGGCTCCCGTACCGACAGCCCTGAACTGGCTGGCCTTACCCACGTGTACACACTTAGAAGTGGCCAATCAGTGTGATGTGCACACTGTCACTGGCTTCCTTCTCGAGATATGACAAGTTTTTTTGGGTCACTGGGCAATGCAGTCTATAGATTTTACACCTACTTTGTCACATTTCATGTCCCACTTCTACTACAGCATAATGGCCCTACAACAGGTCTACTCAGGGTCAGAGAACTGTCCCTCCTCAGGCTGCAGGCAGTAGAGCCCGGGTCAAGAGCCCAAGGCCTGGTAACACGGAATCTGGGCTTTCTTATGAGTCTATGAGCTGGGAAAATGCTGAGAAGTGACCTAAGCCTGTAGTTTCTTCTGCAAAATAAGCTATCACTGCATAGCTCTTTATTTAGCACCTCACATCCACTTCTCTTTCCTAATAATACCCCAACTTCCTTCTGAGGAATTAGTTCTTACTGAATGTTGGTGAAGGAAGGGCATATGACTCAAGTTAATCCAGTCTGACATTATACACGCCCCCAAAATCTCAATCTTCTTTCTTTAAAAAAGAGAAAGGGGAAAGAATGAGAGAAAAAAGGAGGTTATCTCATATCTGGTTCAATCTCCAAATCCCTTAAACAGCTGGGGTTGGCTAGGCCAAAACAAGGAGCTAGGGTTACAGCCCAGATTACATGGAGTCCCACACGGCTGGCAGAGCCCAAGTACTTGAAGCATCACCTTCTGTCTTCTGGGGTATATGCTGCTAAAAAGTTCAGGTGGGACTTGAACCTAGACACTGTAGTATGAGAGGCAGATGTGCTAAGCAGCATCTAACCACTAGGTCACTACCTAAAAGGAGAAAAGCCAAATGTAGGGAAGTTTGCTTATGCTAGTGACAATGCCCAGTCAAGCACTCCCCTGCCTCTCAATTATGAAAACTGTCCCAGTTTTCTGCTGCCACTGCAATTCTCAAGCCAGTTTTCCTAGCCTTCACATCATCTTTCCAATACATTCTCTTTTATTCATGTTAGTCACTTTCTTGTGTCTAACTAATGAACACTGACAGGATAAATTATTGAAATTCAACAGATATAAATTGACACTACAAAAGTAAATTTAGTATGGACTTTAAACCAATACACAGTCTAGTGATGTTCTCAGGATGAATGAATGCCTGCCAGAAAAGATCAGTCCACCGAGCACCCTCCAGACCACCACCTGGGTGGACATTCACAGCCTATACCCTGACTGGAGGCACCTTAACGTACCTGCTCTCCGTCTTCATCACCGAGCCTATTCTGGCAGGGCTTAAGGAGCTGTCAGTCACCTGAAAATGGAGAAAGAACAGATCAGTCTTTTGAAGAGGAAGTTCTTAAAAGACATAAAAAATAAAAGATAGAGATCCTGCATGCAGTTTACACATTACAGGAGAGAAACATGCAACTTTTGAGAAATTTTAAGTAACATTTCATTGTGAATATCAATATGGGGACCTACAGGGGTTCATCCTTGTACATTTTAAAGTAACTGAGCAGAAAGCTTTACTTTGGGGTGCAGAAGGTCTAATCTACAGTCATTGAAATTTTACAATGTGTCATTTAAGATGTCAGACTATGTGCCCAGGTTACATTACAGTTCACTTGTGATGGGCAGGATTATTAAGAGTTATGGCTAATTTATGCGGCAGCATATGGTTTTTCTTTTTACAGCTACTTTTATTAAACAAGTTTTGCAAAGTTTTAACATTAAAATTAACAGCTAGAGAATTGTTTATGCAAGTTGCTGTCACAGTTTATATAAAAGAGAAATATGTGCTATTAAAATCAGACATTTAGGTTACCTTTGGTTTTTTGCGATGCATGTTAGCTTTACACATCCTGATTCTCTTGCGATAATTTTCCTTTAAAAAGGGGGGTATAGAGTGATCTCTTTTCATCAAAACAAGACATAATGCCCTGAAAGCTGACTTCAAACCATGGTTGAAAATTCAGTTATTTACACTTTATCACATTCTACAAATACATTTTTTTTGTTGGTGTGTTTTAAAAAGAAAAAAAAATGCCCATCATGCACTGCTACAGGCAGCTTGGCACTTCATACAAGAGGATTTTTCACCCCCGAGCAGTTTAGGTGGCTCTCTTAGAGAAGACCCGAGAACCCTGAAAATTAGCACAGAACAGTGGAAATAGGGCCAACCAATTCCATCATTTCCTGTCTTGGTCTCTTTGGAGCGAGTTCAAAGCCAGCCTAGCAGGCCAGATCCCGTCCAGCCCAGCGGAGCGCTTAAGAGCATTTCAAGGATTGGAAGGGACACCCTTTAGGGCACCCAGAGTTTGTTGAATGGTCGGATCTAAAAGCAGGCACTATATCATTTTCCAAAGTCACATATGATTTGGTGTCACTCTTTAGGGCCACCTAAGGACTCTACCAAAGATATCAACTAGGGTAGCTGGCACTTTAAATATTGAGACCTACGCATGGAAACCAACCCCGGTCCTGACTTGGTTGGCTTCTTCTCTCCAGAAATGATAACTTTTGATATGATTGAATAAAACTGCTTTCAACAACTTCCAGGGGGTGAAAAAGCTTTGGTTATTTTTAAACTAAAACTTAACAACTCAATAAACTTTTTTTTGGTAAACTTAAAATAAACCCCCCAACCACTTTTAAGAATGTCTCCAAATTTTAACAAGCCCATTAACTTTAGAATTAATTTAAGTTTATTTGAAAGAGAAAATTATTTTATTGTCCACCCAAAAAAATGACAATTCATCACATTTACTTTGATTAAAAAAGGACTAAACTTTATTGACAAACTGCTGCAGACATTTTGACAGAAGTTTAAGCTACCTATTTAGGCAGACTTACACATGTAGCATTTAATCTTCCGAAAACAAAATGGGAGGACGGTACAAATCCAATTAGGACTTTAACTTATGTACAAAGTGGATTTTGATTCCTTTTTCATTCAGCTGCAGTGTCCCTTTTTATATCATGCTAGTGTTGAGACATACTTGACTGGCTACTTTGGAAACAGCTCAAAATTGACAATCATCAACTCAAGAAAATCATTGCCTTTTAACCCCAATGTCCAAGTGAGTTTTTCATGGAGTGCAGAATCTCAGATGGACAAAACACTTTGTCTTTTTAAATACTGAAATTTTAGTAGCTGGTACTATCATCAAAAGACTGTGGCTCAAAAGCCTTCCATCAAATTCAAGTTAGGTGGCCGGCCCCTCTCCCTCGATTGATCTCTTCAGAACCTACTACCCCCAAAGTATCTCTCAACACTGTATGTCTGGGGCTAGATTTCAAAACCCACATAATGAAAAAGTCAGTTTTACAAACCTAATTTGTTGTTGTTTTAATCAATTAACATTAAAAAATTGCCATCAACTATTTAATTCAAGAGGATCTTTCATATTAAAATTTAACTTTAAGGTTCAACCGCCATGTGCTTTTAAAGGAAACATTTTTAGAGACGTCTGAGCTCACTTTTGCATGGTGGCACCTACTGCCATTAACGTTTGTGATTTTTTTAATCTTAAACAGCCCTGAATTTTGAAATGTAGCCTAGTTTGGGATTCTGCAACTACAACTTTACGGGATGCCTCAAATCAAAACTAAGAGAAAGTTAACAAGCCTTTACTTCAGAACCTTTAAGCAAGCAATGTCACTTTTGAAACTAACAGGTTTGTGTTTTTTTTTTCTCAACTTTTTATTATAAAAGGTACACTTCTGTTTATATTTAAACAACAAAGAAAAAAAGCATCTACACACTTAAAAAAATTAATTCGATATTCCTAAATCTATTTTAACTCATTTTAAAACACTACATACAGAAGCCAGAATGCAGAGTTAAGAATGGAGTAAGGTGGGAAGAAAGGGATCACGAAGAAAAACACTTAGACAATTACTTGTCTGTTGTGGGTAAAGCAACAGGAATCCTGGGAGATACAAGAAATCAGTAACAACTTTGCTCATAACTGCTATTTTCCCCTCCTGTTTGTTTTTAATAACGTCCATATGGATGTTCTCTGTATGCGCCCTTCACTGGCCTAGCCGGAGGGGCCTTCAGAGATGGCCTGGTCCCATTCCAGTCGTCTTGGCCTGTGAAGAAAGCAAAAACAATTCATCAGACGTGAGACAAAGGCATCTGGGGCTGAGCAGGGGTCATTCACTCGATACAGAGCACCCCAAACGCTGTCTTTCTTCTAACATCCAGACACCTTCTTGGAGGCCCCTTGCTCAGCTGGGGTGGCCCTCCTGAGTAGTTTTGTGAGGAAGGGAATGGCCCAGAGAAGATTGGCACTGAACGCTACAGAATGCTCACCCATGACGCTATCCAGAGGCATGTCGACTGACAATCCAAGTCCCTAACCTGCATTAACACAACAGAGGACCTGAGACAGTCAGGGAGTCATTAAACTCAATAGTCCGCAACAGCCTTTCCCATTTCCAGAGCAATTCTGGCAGGCAGCTTCAGATAAGGTGACAACAATTCCAGAAGTCTTTCACATTGGAAGCTGACAGTAAGGCAAGTTTTCCTGTGAAGTGTTCCTAGGCTCTCTGGGAGCAGCAAACAAGTGTCACATTTAATGAGGTCCCCTACCAGCAGCAGAGCTGGGCCTCACTGCCCCAGTGGAAGGAACTGTCACAAATACTGCATTCACATAACTGCTAAGGAGGATCCCGTAAGTGCCTGTCTCACGACAACGCTCCAGGGAGGCCAAAGAGCATGGCTTACACTCTCAAATGAGATACACTGTCGTCCTTCCTTCCCACTAGTTCATATGCACTTCCTTCCTGACATACTTCTCATACTTCTCTGTCTTAAACTGCAAGTCTCACAGAAGCCAGTTCAGACTCTCAGTATACGACACATGCCCACACACTGTCCAGATGGCTTCTGGGTAACATGTAGGTTATTTTTCTAATTCTTCTTATAAGGACAGAGATTAGAATAGATTAACCACAACAACATCACACAAGAAGCAGCCTCTTTCGGTTCAGTCCTTTTCTTAGCAAAACAGAAATGTAGTTTAGTCAAGCACACACAGAGGCCTTTCTGTCCTGCCTCCCGGGTGGGGGAAACACCCTTAGCAGCGGCATGCAAGCACAGAGGTGCAGTGTTACTGATGGCAACTGTCCAGGACCACTGAATTCTACTGCTTCCTTGGGTAAGCAGCTGCCTGGCTATTTCATACCACACCAAGGAACTGCAGGCAGCGTGTCTGAGGGAGGCCCTAAGAGGCTCCTCTTTTGTAGCTGAGGTAAGAGGAAACTCAACCAATGTTTAAGATGAATTGTCAACTGCTGAGCCCCTGGCCAAGCACTCGCTCTAAGTCCTTCAGGTGTGCTGTAAACACCTCACATCACAGCGATCACTGTCTGCATCCTTGCTGCGGCATCCCCTCGAGGGCCCACTCACCTGGGATCATCACCTGCTCGAGGCCACACCAGAGCAGCATGGCTTCACCAAAGCCCACGAAGGCAGACTGGTCCTGCCGCCACGCCAGCCTCTCTTGCTCCCTTAGGATCAAGGCTTGAGCTGTCTAAAGCCAACAAGCAGCTGGCTTGCCCAGATCTGCTGGCACTGCCCTGGGCAGCAGCCCCTACTGCCTCTGACGTGATCTGAAGGGGAATACTCTTCCCCTAACCTGGTCTGAATAGCTGCTTGCCATCCAGGCCCCTTTCAGCTAGCATTTTCTCTGTAATAAAATTCTTTTCAAAAGATTAAAAAAAAATTTATTTATTTTTATTACAAAGTCAGATATACAGAGAGGAGGAGAGACAGAGAGGAAGATCTTCCATTTAATGACTGACTCCCCAACTGACCGCAGTGACCAGTGCTGTGCCAATCTGGAGCCAGAAGCCAGGAGTTAGGAACTTCCTCTGGGTCTCCCATGCAGGTGCAGGGATCCAAGGCATAGGGTCGTCCTCCACTGCTTTCCCAGGCCACAAGCAGAGAGCGGGATGGGAAGTGGAACTGCCAGGATTAGAACTGGTGCCCATATAGGATCCCAGCATGTTCAAGGTGAAGATGTTTTATGCTAGTCTACCACGCCAGGCCCAAGATTCTAACGTTCAAAATATGTGAAGCAAAGGACTAGAATTGCATAAGATAAGGTTCTTCTTATATACTAATGTTGCCTATATATCAGCAGGAGAGGTGGTAAACATAATCCAGGACTAACTGTCCCCTAACAGAATCAGTCTGAGCTTGAGGAAGTCTGCGGCTGCAAGCAGGCCAGGCTGAAGCTGAGCCCAGACCAAGATGTTCACTTAGCCTGCCAAGGACCCCCACCTCACTTTAGTAGTCCCTCTCTGTCCCAGAAACCATAGAATTCAAGTAAGAGGGCACTCCTATTGTCATATCTACCAACACCTTGGCCTTCTAAAGGCTTTTCTTCAGATGTGTCTGCCTGACTCCCAATAATGAATCACCAACAGTCTCCCTGACTCTTACTTGTGTAATCTGTCCCACCGCAGAAATACATACCGTAAGCTTCGTAAGAATCCTGAACCTCCCCATGTCCATAGTCATAATACTCTGAGTCCCTGCAAGCCAAAGCCAGACTGTTAGAAAGTTCACAGCAACAACCTTCAGTTCTACCTCCAGATGCTGTCCCCTCACTGATGACAGAACTATTCATTCTGCCCTATCCCTGCACTCCAAAACAGTTCTAAAACACCGTATACACTGCATACTCTACAGTGCTCACTACAAGAGCATAAACAGCTATTCTGTCCCTACACAATTTAATGTAACCTTGACGTTATTAAAATACAGAAACAATTATTTAAATTTTCCTCTCTTTGCTTCCATGTAGTCACAACTCAGAAATTAGAATTAGAAAATTCAGAGTTAGCCAAACTTGTGCATCTAAGTGTGTAGCTCACAGACACCCAAAGCAGAGGATATGCCTTAAGAGGGGAGCCACACTTCTCCCAAATCACACTCAGCTTCTCCCAACTCTACTGCTAGTTTCCCAAACAGCAGTCCTGCTGCCTGACTTACCCTTGGCTCTGGCTGTAATACCCTTCATAGCCTTCATAGCTCTGTTCTGCGTATGTGTCATCATATCCCTAGAACACATAAGACACATGCAAAGTCAGAACTGATTACCTCCCATGAGCACAACAGCCTTTCGGATTAAAGGACATGAAAACTGCCTTCATCTTATTAATAGCTACTGAGGAATAATTAAGAGAATGTGTTACTAAAAACAAACAAACAAACAAACAAAAAAACCCTCAGAACCTAAACAAAAAACAACCCAACCAAAATGGTTCAGGACAGGTGGAGACAGGAAGTAGCACAAAACTGAGCGTTAATATCACTGGCAGAAGCAGCAGCTTCCTTACACTGCACCGTGAGGTATAGCTTACACCCTGTCTATTCCAAACAGATAATCACGCCCAAATGGAAAGTCTGGTCATAGTTCATCACTCATTTCATGAATAGATTCCAAATCTTAAAAACCAGTCACCACCCTGCACAAAGGGCCAAGAATTTGTCAATCAATCTTCCCTGGCAATCTTGTAAGTATTAGGAAGTAGCACTTAGTTCAAAATATTCTTACATATTCTTCGTAGGTTTTAGGGGCAGGAGGTGGAGGCAGAGGTATCCTCTGAATGCCTGCTGTCCGTGCTCTTGATGTGGGAGTGCCCCTCACAGTGGGTGGGGGTGGCACGCCCCGAGTCACGGTGGCACCTCTGGTGATGGCTCCTCTCACTGGGGTACCACGCACCAAAGCCCCTCGAGGTGGTCCAACTCCACGGCCTCTGCAAAAGGAAAGTTCATCTTATATTATAAACAGGCTACTTCCATTTTCAGATTGGCTTGCAAAATGTAGAGCAATAGACTTTTACAAGATTTACTTCTTTATTTTCTGATAGTTATCTAGAGAAACAGGGAAAGCCAGATATCATCTATCTGCTGCTTCACGCCCTGAAAGGCTGCAACCGTCAGGTCCAGGACAGCCTGAAGTGAGCAGCTACGAGCTCCATTTTGTACATGGCTGCGCTTTGGCAATCTTCTGTTGTTTTCCCAGGTGCATTACCAGGAAGCAAAATGGAAAGTGGAGCAGCCAGAACTTGAACTAGAACTCTGACATGGAATGCTAATATCTCAAGTGGCAGCTTAACCTGCACTGCCAAAACACCAAACCCTAGATAGATTTTATCATGCTTTAAATAGAGCACTGTTCAAGCATACAGGCACATGCAATTGGGAAAGGGATCTACACTGGAAGGCTCTTCAAATTCCAAAACAGAACAATCCTGCAGGTAAAGAAGGCCTAGTTTATATAGGTCAGCCACAAAAAGTTAAAACACTGGGCCCAGTGTGATAGCCTCATTGTAAATCCTTGCCTTGCATCTGTGGGATCCCATATGGGTGCTGGTTCATGTCCTGGCTGTTCCACTTCCCTTTCAGCTCCCTGCTGTGGCTGGGGAAAGCAACAGAAGACAGCTGAAGGCCTTGAGATCCTGCACCCAAATGGGAGACTTGGACGAAGCTCCTGATTTTAAATCATTTAAGCTCTGGCCACTGTGGCCACTTGGAGAGTGAACCAGTGGATGGAAGATCTTTCTTTCATTCTGTCTGTATATTTGCCTTTCCAATAAAAATTAAATAAGTCTTAAAAATAAAAAAAAGTTAAATCTTAAGGACAGCCATTAAAAAATTTAAAAATGCAGTGGCATATCAAACTAATCCTTCATCCACAGCACTGGCATCCCATACAGATGCCAATTTGTGTCCTGGATGTTCCTCTTTCAATGCAGCTCTCTGCTTATGGCCAGGTAAAACAGCTGAGGACAGTTAAAGTCCTTGGTCCTTGGCACCCATATGGGAGATCTGGAGAAGTTCCTGGTTCTTGGCTTTGGATAGGCTCAGCTCCAGTTGGGCAGTGAACCAGCACACACAAGACAAAAGACCTCTCCTTCTGTCTCTTCCTCTTTCTGTAAAATCTGCCTTTCAAATAAAAAAAAAAAATCAGTAACATTAAAAACAACCAAAAAAAAAAAAAAAAGCTAACACATAGCATGTGAAGAGGCCACCTGCACCACTAGCATCCCAATGGGATACTAGCTGAAGTGTTTCTTATTGTAGTTTTAATCCAGTTTCCTGCTAATAGCCTGGGAAAAGCAGCGAAAGATGGCTCAAGTGGAAGGAAATATTTGAGGCACTTATCATCCATGAGGAAGTCCTGGAAGAAATTCCTGGCTTCTGACTTTGGTCTGGCCCAGGTCCAGCTGCTGTGGTCAATTAGGGAGAAAAACCAGCAGACAGAAGTTCTCTCAAATAAAAGTAAATAAACCTTTATAAACAAAAAATGTAGGGTCGGTGCCAAGGCACACCAAGCTGGGCTTCTGCCAGCAGTACCAGCATCTCATATGGGTGGCAGTTTGAGTCACAGCTGCTCCACTTCTCATCTAGCTCCCTCCTAATGCACCTGGAAAAGCAACAGAGGCTAGCACAAGTGCTTGAGCTCATGTGCCCATGTAGGAAACCTGGAAGAAGCTCCTGGCATCTAGCTTTGGACCAGCCCAGCTCTGGCCACTGCTGCCTTTTTGAGGAGTGAATCAATGGATGCCAAGACTGATCTCTCTCTCTGTGTCTCTCCTTCTCTCTCTCTGTAACACTTCCTTTCAAGTAAAAATATACCAATCTGGGCCCAGCACAGTAGCCTGGTGGCTAAAGTCCTCACTTTGCATGCTCCAAGACCCCATATGGGTACCAGTTTGTATACTGGCTGCTCCACACCTTCCAGTTCCCTGCTTGTGGCATGGGAAAGCAGTTGAGGATGGCCCAAAGCCCTGGGACCCTGCACCTGTGTGGGAAACCCAGAAGAAGCTGCCAGCTCCTGGCTTCAGATTGACTCAGTTATAGCCACAGTGGTCACTTGGGGAGTGAACCAGCAGACAGAAGATTTTTCTCTCTCTCTCCCCCTCCCCTCTGTAAATCTGCCTTTCCAATAAAAATAAAATCAATCTTTAAATAAATAAATCAACCCTAAAGACAAGTAAACAAAACCAAAAATGGTTAAGACTGTCCAACATCAAGAGACTAAAGGTTTTAGCAGTCATATAGCACACTTAACTCTGGTCAAAGTGCCCAAGATCTACAGTTTCATTCTCAGTGTAACGTATGAATCCCAGCCCTCCCACAAGAGAAGTCAAAGCCATACTTTTGAAAGAGAACAATGGCACTAGACGTCAATTCAGACCCTGTATTTCTGGCTGTCTCCATTATTTTTACCTTGCAACAGGTGGAGGGGGAGGTGCAGCTCCCCGGCCTCTCACTGGCATCCCTCGGCCACGAGAGGGCTCAGGGACTCCGTTCAAGTAGGACAGCTCTAGAAATTGCTCCTGACAGATATCATCCATCATATCCTGGGAATGAGAGATAACAAGGAGTACTGTACAACTCTGTCACCTTTTACTGTGAAGTCATCTCACCCACATGAGCCTTGGATGCCGAGAAGTGCTTAAAAAGCTTAAAGGCCCAGATCACTTTTTTTCTGAAGTTAAAGAGCACCCTGCCTGTCACTTCTTTGAGGAAAGTCCTGATGTCAGATGCACCATTATTTAGGCAGAGCTCCTCATAGTGTGGCCCCTGCTAGCCACCGTCCATATACAATCTCCTATAAAATTTGCAGTTCAGAACCTGACTTCCACATACCCACGCTTGGCAAATAATTTCCTTTGCCTGGAAAGGAAATTAACCACTACCATTAACGGAGCTGTATGAACTAGGCATTAAAGAATAAGCGTTATATAGATTTTTCAGTTTAATCTTCAAAATGACCCTAAAGTAAGTAGGCAAACCTCCATTCCTGTTAATTGGGAAAACAGATTCAGTGAATATAAATCAGCCAGCGTAAGAAACAGAGCTTGGGACCAGATTCATGTTCTTCCCCACTTCCCAAACACCAGCTCCCTGCTTGTGGCTTGGGAAAGCACTAGAGGATGACTTAAGGCCTTGGGACCCTGTACCCGCACAGGAGACCTGGAGGAGGTTCCTGCCTCCTGACTGGCTCAGCTCTGGTTTTTGTGGCCACTTAGGGAGTGAACCAGCAAACAGAAGATCTTTCTCTCTATATAAATCTGCCTTTCCAATAAAAGTAAATAAATCTTAAAAAAAAAAAAAGAACACAGGGTTTCTAAATGACAGATTCCAGATGTGAACTAAGCATTAACTTTCTCCAAAATTCAGGCTTTGAATCAGCAAGCTGTAACTTTTTTTCCTGGGATGGGGAAAGGATAGGTGGAATATACCCAAGGTTCTCTTTAACTCTTGCAAAGCTTACCTAAAATACTATTTCTTTTGACAAACTTTCCCTTGATGTCTTCTCCATACCAGTTCTTGCCACAGCTCCATATAATTCTCTCTACTTAAGCACTTTGCATGTCACTTTATACTGTGTTTTTCTTCTGAGAGCTCTTCTGGAAACTTCACACAGAAACTGCCCAGGTAGCACAGTATTGGGCACCTACCAGATATTTAACAAGGGTTTGGGACAAACAGGAATCTGAAGCTCAGAAAAACGAAAAAGTAACTTGAAGACTGAGCTTCTGGTCTAGTGTTCCTTCTAGAGTGAGCAAAGCTTCACCAGTGTTCTAACAGGAAAGTGGATGTTTAGGACTGGGATGCTAATACAGGCTGACAATTTTTTTCCTTCACTAAAAGTAAAAACAGTCAAATGCCATCTGCAAATCTTTCCACAGATTTCGTAGTGACAGTGATTCTGTTTCAATACCTCATGAATGTATATATTCTCAGGTGGAAATAGCTTCATAACATAAGATTCTAGGCATTACAAAGATGTCTCCCTTAGCTTTTCACCTGCTTCTACACTACACTACACATCATTATTACTTGAGACTGCTATTGGCAAACCAAATAACCAACGCTAGCCCACTGCTCAGATTTTGTACTGCAATCTTGGGAGTTCAATATTATGGGTCCATACTATCAACTTTTAATTTACCAATACCAACATCCTCTGACATATTTAGTTCCAAATCTTTCATTTTACATTCAAGAAAACCAATAGTATTCCAAATCTTCACTAAGGTTCCAGTCTAATATTAAACACATAACAGTAGTATAGCAACCCTGACAAACACTACCCATTTATTCAAAGTGATAATCTGACGTGGGTGGTAATAAGCCAAGACAGATACTCCAGCCTATTCCAACTCTTCCTGGGCCTCAATTACAATCTAAAAGGACCTGCACACCAACCCATTTAATGTTATCAATAGTGAGGTATGTAACAACCATGCTTCTTCCAAACCAAACTCTAACAAAGTAACTGTCTTGACAAGAAACCCATGAGGGCAATCACGTCAGAATCAAATCTATTACCATTGGATACTATCTGGTGTTAGAGACTCCAGATTCCACACCAGTATCAGACTATTTAGCTAACTGTGACTCCATAATACTAACACCAAACATGGCACACAATGAAAGTCACATTAGACAGGATGAACAGAGTAGCACTGCGGCACAGTGCCTTGCAAATTATGGACGATTAATGAAAATACACATAAACACACATGTAGCACACAATTTCAGGCAATGGAGACATCCCAGTTAAAAAGTTCTGCTTTCACAACAGCCCAAGATTACCATCCCCTTACATAGAAGATACAGACTATGGATTTCCTTACTGGCACAAGAAACTTTTTGACTTCCTCCATGGCGTGTGCCATGAGAGCATAAGCCTCACATGGAGGTCCAAAGACTTCAATGAAGACATGCAGATCCATGTTCAAGTGAGCATATTTGGGGTCTCCACCTTTGCGCAGCTCTTCCTCCTATGGAAAAATGTACAGAAGCATCACACCATGTGGACAAGGGAAAAAAACATTTCTACCTCCAGGCTCAAGGGACAATAAGAAATAATCTCAATGTCTAAGAAAAATAGCAAAGCTTAAGAAGGAACAAACCCTGGAAAATAATAACATACACAATCTACTGAATTTGTATTTGGTCTGCTGTTAGCACTTAACTGTTGTCTTAAATTCCTGGGGAACTGACTGGAATTCTTTTGAGAAAGTGTAAAAACAAAAATGGGGTGTACATATAGTACAGCAGTAAAAAAAAAAAAAAAAAAAAAACTACTTGGACCCCACCTCAGTATTGTCTGTGTATCTCATGTACCGGCTCCACTCCAATTCCGACTTCCTGATAATACATCTTCTGGGAGGTGGCTGTAATGGCTCAAATGTTTGTTTTCTTGTCTCCTACATGGCATACTTAGACTGAATTTCAAGTTCTTGGCTTTCCCCTGGACTAGCCCCAGCTATCATATTAATTTTGGAAGTGGACCAGCAGATGGAAGCACTCCTTCTCTTTTTCTGCTTTTCAAATAAAATGCTAAGAAAAAAAGCCCTCTACATTTATATACTGTAACAACCACTTGCCAAACATTTGCATGCATTCATATACTTATAGCCAGGAATTTGTTTTCAAATCCCAGGTAGAGCTGTTAATCATCAACTCCACTGATCTGCTTAAATGGTGTAGAGTTCTTAGGGATGAAAAAAGCCAGGTCAGAGTAAAGAAAAGCCTGCACAAATCTCATTAGCTAGAATAACATACCTTAGCCATAACTGTACACATCTAGTGACAGATAAATCTAAGTAGATAAAAGAGGGTCTGGAAAAAATCATGCTGGTCAATTAGGTTATAAAAAAAGAGGCCTGAAAGGGCAAATTTTAAGAAATTTTAAAGGATTGATTTATTTGAAAGTCAAAATTAAGAGAGATTTTCCATCAACGGTTCATTCGCCCAAATGGCTGCAATGCCCAATGTTGGGCCAAGTAGAAGCCAGGAGCCCGGAACTCCACCTGGGTCTCCCACATGAATGTCAGGAAGTCCAAGCACTTGGAACATGTGCTACTTTGCTAGGCACATTAACAAGGAGTTAACTCAGAAGTGGAACACTGGGACTCAAACTGGGACTCACCCATACGGGATGATAGCACTGTAGGTGACAGCAGCTTAACCTACTGTACCAATGCCAGCTTCAAAGAACAAGCTTTCCAGTGGTATCAAGTATGTCTCTTTTAAAAAGCTGACCATAGAAGGCTAGAACAATTTTGTTCTAGTGAGAAGTTTCCTGGCATTTATAAAGAATTCAGTGTGAATTTTCTATGGCTCTGCCATAGAAAAAGACTGATGCCTCAGATTCTGTTGTCAGGACTATTCAGGGTACCCTGGGATCACATGCTATTTTAGAGGGCCTCCCAGTCCAAGTGGACATGAAACATAAAACCACCAGTCTTCAAACTCATCCACACTGGTAACTCTTCCCACTCTTTCCTGTTACTGAAAGGGGAACGTCCATGTCCTAATCTCTTTAGGCTGGTAGGCTTTAGCACACCTGGCTCCACTCACAAGTCTTCACAGATGAGTTTATCAATTCCTGTCAACCAAGTCGGCTAATTTCATCTACAACCTCTTGAGCTAACAGAAACTTAAGAGTCACATTCTATACATAAATCGATGGCTTCCAAGGCATTCCATCCTGGACTCCGAGCAAGAAGACACCGAGTTATCCTCTTGTCTCACTAATGTGAGCTTACCTTGGCTTTGTCTCTCATCGAGCCTTTTCCCAACACAGAGATTTTTGCACCAGTCTCTTCTTGCAGTCTTTTTATTGTATTTCCTTGTGGTCCAAGTATCTTTCCAACAAAATTGAACTGACAGAAAATAAAACACATTTCTAAATACACATGTACCCATTAAAAATTCCACATACATCCTGTATTCTCATTTGATTTTCAAAAGCCCTGTAAAACAGGTAGAGTAATACTATTCCCATTTTATTGAAGAATATACTAAAGCTGTGCTGATAAAACTCAACCAGGAAATGGCAGTTCCTAGACTTGGAAGTGGGTTTCCTGACACAGGCTGGTGCGCTGTCCATAACATACTCTAACTCTAATTATTTTAACATACATAAACATTTTAACATACGGCACATGACATTTTTAGGCAGTGACTTCACAACAGACATGTAACACTTCTTGTTAGAACAGTTAGCAAATTCTTTTTTTCTTTTTTTGTAAATTATTTTTCTAAAAAGGAGAAAGAGAAGGAGAAGGCATCAAATTTTGAGCAAGAAAATTAACTTCATCTAGTCAAGGATTTATTCAATGATTTCCTTTCTATTTAAAGTTCAGGGCAATCTTTAGACTGAGTAACTCTGAGGAGTTTACATTTTTCCCCCTTTAACCTAGAGCCTCCATAAAACTTTGGGTAAAATGATACATAACTCATTGACAATAAGATGATTATGCTTCCTCCCTAGATATAGCTATGCTATTAGCTATAGGTATACAAGCTTCCATTACCAGAAACAGAAGTGTGAGTATAAGAGAGTAGTTTCACAAGCTTGAATTTCTGCCTTATCACCCTCCTCTGAAGTCCTTATTATAGCCAATGACACCCACATCATAAAGAGACTCAAAAGAGGGGCATATTTTGTCCTACCTTGGGATATTGCTTGACAGGAATCAATACTCGTTCTTTCAGCTTCATGTTCTTATGAGAAAATAAATCCAAGTAATTCTCCTCATCATCCTTTTTTGAATCTTTCTGAATTTTCTCAATTTCTGAATTGGAAAAAAATTATTTTTGGTCTGGTAAATAAAGGCAAATTTCCAAGTCCATCAAAGCAATAGCATGAAATACCACACAATGAAGAACTTACCTGAGTTAAGAGTAAACAGATTTTGGGTCAGCATGTTGGCTCAACTGGCTAATCCTCCACCCCCAAGCATCACATTCCATGTGGGCACTGATCTGTGTCCCAGCTCTTCCATTTCTGACCCATCTCTCTGATTATGGGTCTAGGAAAGCAGAGAAGAATGGCCTAAAACTTTGGGACCCTGCACCTGCGTAGGAGACCTGGAAGAAACTCTAGGTTCCTGGCTCCTGGCATTGGATCAGCTCAGCTCCAGCCATTGTAGCCATTTGGGAAGTGAACCAGCAGATGCAGGATCTCCCTCTGTCTCCATAAATCCACCTTTCCAATACAAATAATTTTTAAAACAGTAGACAGATTTAACAAAACTAATGCACTGAGATGAGGAACAGGGAAATTAAGGCACTAAAAAACCAAAAATCTACACCAGGAAAAAGGAGAAAGGTACACCTTGACAAACAAAAGTCTGGGACCAGCACTGTGGTACCAAAGGGTGAAGCCACTACTGCAGTGTCAACATCCAAAATGGATGCTACTTCAAGTCCTGGAGCTCAACTTCCAATTCAACTCCCTGCCAACGGCCTGGGAAAAGAGGATGGAGATGGCCCAAGTTCTTGAACTCTCATCAGCCACGTGAGAGATCCAGAAAAGGCTCCTGGCTTCGGCACAAACTAGCACTGTTTTTTTTTTGTTGTTGTTGTTGTTATTGCTTTTTTTTTTTTTTTTTTGCCATTTTGGAATGATTCAGTAATGAAAGCTCACTGTTTTTTCCTCTCTATAACTCTGCCTTTCAAATAATGTATCTTTTATTTGAAAGTCAGGAACTGGGCCCAATGCGGTAGCCCAATAGCTAAAGTCCTTACCTTGCACGTGCTGGGATGCTATATGGGTGCCGGTTCTAATCTTGACTGTCTGACTTCCCATCCAAATCCCTGCTTGTGGCCCGAGAAAGCAGTCAAGGACGGCTCAAAGGCTTGGGATCCTGCACCCACATGAGAAACCCAGAAGAGGCTCCAGGTTCCTAGCTTTGGATTGGCACATTTCCAGAAGTTGTGCCCACTTGGGGAGTGAATCAATGGATGGAAGATCTTCCTCTCTGTCTCTCCTCCTCTGTGTATATCTGACTTTCCAATAAAATAAACAAATCTTAAAAACTCAGTAACTTAGGGCCTGGTGCAATGGCTCAATCCTTACCTTGCAATGACCAGGATCCCATATGGGTGCCAGTTTGTGTCCCAATTGTTTCACTTCTCATCCAGCTCCCTGCTTGTGTCCTGGGAAAGCAGCAGAGGATGACGAGACTTGGAAGAAGCTCCTGGCTTTGAACAGCTCGTTGCAGCCATTTGCGGAGTGAACCAGCAGATGGAAGATCTTTCCCTCTGCCTCTCTTTCTCTGTATAAATCTGATTTACCTTTCCAATAAAAAATAAATAAATTTTTTAAATTGAAAAGGCAGATTTCCAGAGAGGAAAGACAAAGAAATACCTTCCATTCACTGGTTCACACCCTAATGGATTTAACAGGCAGCGCTGAGCCGATTTGAGGCCAGGAGCTTCTTCCATGTCTTCCACACAGGAGAAGGATCCCAAGGCCTTGGGCGGTCTTCTATTGCTTTCCCAGGCCACAAGTTGGGAGCTGGAAGGGAAGGGGAGCAGCTGGGACACAAACTGGCACCCCTATGGGATTCTAGTGCTTACAAGGTAAGGATTTAGTGACTAAGTCATCAGTCGGGCTCTGTTAAAGATTTATTTTTGTTTACTTGAAAGACAGAGAGGAATCTTTTATCCTCTGATTCACTCCCCAAATGGTCCCAAAATGCCAGGGCTGGATCTGGCAAAATGCAGGGGCCTGCAACTTCATTCACGTTTCCTCCATGGGTGGTAGGGGCTTAAGCAATTGGGCCACCTTCTAACACTTTCTCAGGCAAATTAGTAGGGAGCTGGGTTACAAGTGGAACAGCTAAGACTCAACATTGCTCCCATGAAGTATCAGCATCATAGGAGGCAGTTTAACAAACCATGCCATAACACTACTCCCCAAGGAGCTTTCAATTCCAAGAGCAAGATAGCTCCAGCTCATAAAACTTTAGCACCCAGGGACCAGCACTAAGGTGTGCCAGGTAAAGCCACCACCTGTCACACAGGTGGATACTGGTTCCTGTCCTGGTTTTTCTATTTCTCATCCAATTCCCTGCTAATGGCCCAAGAAAATCAATGGAGGATGGCCTCAAGGTTTGGTCTCTGTTATCCAGGTAAGTGAGCCTGATGGAGCTCCTGGCTCTTGGTTTCAACCTTTCCAGCCCTGACCACTGTAGCCATTTACGGAATGAAGCAGATGGAAGATTTCTGTCTTCCTCTAGTAACTTTCAAATAAATACATAAATGCATCTTAAATAAAAATACTGTAGCACCCAGAAAAAATTCTTATGTTATTGCCTTTAAACATTATTGAATTTGAAAGTGTTAAAAAGAGAGACTGAGATTCTCCATCTGCTGGTTCACATCCAGGCTGCAACAGCTGGGGCTGAGACATGCTAAGGCCAAGCATTCAACTCCACCTCAGTCTCCCACACAGGCAGCAAGGGCCTCAAGTACTTGATGCTTACTTATCGCAGGTGCATGAATAGGAACTAGACCAGAAGGAGAACAGCAGATTTGAACTGCACTCATATGGAATGCCTGCTTTGTGGGCCCCTAAGTGTTTTCTTTGAAAGGCAGATTAAGAGAGAGTTACAGCTACGACCGACCATTAGACCATTAGCCACTAAGGGGGACTTGGCAAGAACCAGGCATCTACATTGTGAAGAAAAGGACTTACAAACAATATGTAGAATACAACCCTCCCCATTAAAAAAAAAAAAAGATTTACTTATTTTTATTGGAAAGTCAGATTTTATAGAGAGGAGAGACAAAGAAAGATCACCCATCCACTGGTTCACTCCCCAAATGGGGGCAATGGCCAGAGCTGAGCTTTCCCAGACCACAAGCAAGGAGCAAACTTTAGCCACTAGGCTACTGTGCTGAGCCCTACAGACCTCCCCCTTTTTTTTCCCACCTGTTTACATCCTATAGATTCCAGTCTACAAGGGTAGTAATGAAGTATAGACAGGTACTTGACAGGAATTCTAACAGAGGTGGGGGCAGACTGCTCAAAGAATGAGCAGTAACTGCAAGCACACATGATTAAAAGAACAATCCACAAACAAGAAAGTTATACTCTCTAAAGTCATCAAATATTCCAAGTAGCAGAATGTTCTTATATAATATTCCTATGTTGTGCTTCCTTAAAGAAAGGTTTTATTTATCTGAAAGGCAGTTTTGGGAGAAAGAGAAATAGAGACCTATCTGCTGGTTTAGCCCCTATATGGCCACAATAACTAGGACTGGGTTAGGCTGAAGCTGAGAGCTGCTTCTGGGTCTTCCACATGGGTGCAGGTGTCCAAGCACTCAGGCCATCTTCCCCTGTTTTCCCAGGTGCATTAGCGGTAGGTGATTCCCCTGACAGGGGGACACCAATATCACACAGTGACCTAACACGCAGTGGCACAATCCTGGTCCTGATTCTGTCTTTAGCAGTTTTAAGGCAGAGGCTCTCAAACTTCAGTATACACCAGAATCACCACAAAACTGAGAACTTGCTAAAACAGATTCCTGGATCCCAACCCCAATTAGCGATTTCTATTACGAATCTGCAATTCTTCCTTCATTCCTTTCTTTTTTTTAAATTAGAGAGGTTTATTTTTTATTAGAAAGGCAGATTTAGGGCCCGGCGCAATGGCGCAGTGGTTAAGGTCCTCACCTTGCACTCCCGGGATCCCACATGGGCCCCGCTTCCCTTCCAGCTCCCTGCCTGTGGCTCGGGAAAGCAGTCGAGGACGGCCCAAAGCTTTGGGACCCTGCACCCATGTGGGAGACCCGGAAGAGGCTCCTGGCTTCAGATTGGCATAGTATCGGCCGTTGCGCTCACTTGGGGAGTGAATCATCGGACGGAAGATCTTCCTCTCTGTCTCTCCTCTCTGTATATCCGCCTTTCCAATAAAAATTAAAAAAAAAAAATCTTTAAATCTTAAAAAAAAAAAAAGGCAGATTTACAGAGAGGAGAGACAGATTTCTGTCCACTAGTTTCACTCCTCAGGTGGACATGATGCTGGAGCTGAGCCAATCTAAAGCCAGGAGTCAGGACCTTCTTCCCAAGGCTTTGGACCATCCTCTACAGATTTCCCTTGCCACAAGCAGGGAGCTGAATGGGAAGCAGAGCAGCTAGGGTATGAACCGGAGTCCATCTGGGATCCTGGAACTTTCAAGGTGAGGATTTAGCCACTGAGCTATCACACTTTCTAACACGGTTTCAGGGGATGTGGATAATGACAGCCTAGGAACCAGTAGTTTAAGGTATGAACATATCCTATCTCAAACCTACTCTGTCAACTATGCTCTTAAGTATTTAAAATAACTGGATCACATGTGTTTGTCATGTACAGAGGGAAGGAAAGTTATGACCCTGACTTCAAAGATCAGAATTTCCAACTCTAAGTTCTGTTTATTCAAATTCTAACTTCAGCTTTTAGCCTATACCATGAGATGAGCATACACTCTTTGAGTTCCTGACAACTAGTGCTGTAATTAAGGGCATTATGGCAGAGCAGTAAAGCTGCTGCCTGTGACACCAGCATCTTACATGGGTGCTTGCTTGTGTACTAGTTACTCTATCTGCAATTCAGCTCCTTGTTAATGGTCTTGGGAAAGCAGCCCAAGATGATCCAAATGTATGGGTCCCCACCTAACTGGGAGACCCAGAAGAATCCCCAGGAAATCCCAGACATCTGGGGAATGAATATACAGATAAAAGATCTCTCTGCGACTTTGCTGTATCACTCACTCACTCACTCAATTTTAAAGCTAGTAATCA